GCTGGGCCCGGGACCAGCCAGGACCCGGGCCCGAAGTCAGACTCTCCTCCCAGACGCTCCCTCGCCCCTCGGCCCCATCCCCGTCCACCTACGGGGGCCACATGACGGGGCCTGTTTGGCCTGTTTCCCCACCTGCAGCAGGAGGGCCTGGCAGGGTGGGCCGGAGGGAAAGGCTGTTCCCTGGGAAGAGGATGGGGGCTGGGCAGGGCCGGGCAGCCCGCGGGGGAGGAATGAGGCCCCCTCGTGATAAGGGAGCGTGGGAACCCAGCGGGCAGGCGGGGGCGGCTCCCCCAGGAACTTTCCAAAACAGGCGGCTGGAGGCCAGAAAGTTTCCACCACTGGAGCTGGCCCAAAAGGTGGACAGTAGGGAACGTTTATAGAAGACAGTCAGGGCCCAACCTGGGAGCCCGGGCTACAAGACCCCGGTTCCAGGCATTACCCTACCCTAAAGGGGCCCCAGCCTGGGGAGCTGGAAGTGGGCTCCCGCCCCCTACTCCCCCCAGATAGCTCAGAAGCAGGGGCCCTGCGAGGCAGGCCTCCCACATAAGGTGGATGCTAGAAGGGTTTTGAGATATGAAGAGGAGTCCACTGAGAGGAAAATCACAGGCACTGGGCAGAAGAAAAGACGGCCAGGTGGGAGGCAGTCTGAGGACAGGAAGTGTGATACAACATTTGGTCTCTGTCCCTGGTTCCTGGCTATAGGTTGAGTTCAGTCACCGATAGCCACTTACTTCACCAAATCTGTATAAACCAGGGTGTTGGGGCTCAGAACACAACACCCCCAAAGCACAGCTCCCTGGCATGCTGGGTACTTTGGACTGAAGGACCACGGAAGCCTTAGAAGCAGGGTGTCCTGACCTCATCCGGTTCTCCTGTCTCTGTCCCTCTCCCCTGAAGTGGGTCGCAGGACCAGAATCCCTGTGGCGGCGCCTCTCCCTTCTTCCGAGGGCCCCATTCCAACAGGTCCTGCCTGTGCCCTGGAGGACAGAATGTTGCCCAGGGAGGCTACAAAGCCCCAGCAGGGTCCCACCCTCTGTGCAGTCACATCTCTGCAGTCTCCACGGGGCCGGGGACATGCACTTCTGGAGCTGTGGGGTCTTCCTTCCCAAAGGCGCCCATGTCCTGCCCTTGACATAGAAGTGTCGGCCGTGACCCTTGTGATGGGCGAGGAAAAACATGTCACCCCTTTCCACTCCTACAAGACCGCCATAAAAATCTCTAAACAAAGCAGGGAGTAGTATTGGGAGATTGAGGCAGGAGGTTCACTCTGAGCTCAGGAGTTCAAAACCAGCCTGGGCAACACAGTGAGACCCTGTCTCTAAATACACATTTTTAAATAAAAAGAAGCTGAAGTGATGAGGGGTTGGCAAAGACATAGGTGCTGGGAGGGCAGCACCCTGGAGAAGGTGTGGGAGCACCCGCCTGACCCCGGCCTGCGTCTTCTCTATGGAGCTGTTCTAGCAAAGTCTCAGAGCTGAGGCTGGGCATGCAGACCCTCGATCAGCAGCCCCCAGCCCCTTAGCTGGTAAGTCCGAGCTATCCCTGGGAACGGAACTGTTGGACATGCAGCCAGGAGGGGAGGGTCGGGGGAGCTTGTGACTCGAGGCCACTCGTGACGCAGGATGTGTGCAGATGAGCAGTGACAAAGGCTCCAAGGCAGGGATGGGGCTGGCCGGGTCACCAAGGCCCAGAGCCCAGGGGGAGCTGGGCGCACAGGAGGCTGTGGGAGCAGGGGTGCTGGTGGAAAGAGGACAGTCAGGATGGCGTCCAAGAAGCTGCAAGGTGGGGTGGGCAGACACTTCTGGGCTCCAGGGGGCTGGACTGGTGGCGTCCATGACTCAGGGGGATCAGCCAGGAGACAACTGTGGGCTCAGTGGGCTGACGACCAAGGTGCTGCCGGAAGGTCTGCTCGGAGCTGACAGCCAAGGTCCGGGGGAGGTGGCGGCCTCGGAGTGTGAAGGACAGCGATGCTATCCCCGGGAAGAACGGCGTGGCCCGGCAGTACTGGGAGCAGGGTACATGCCTGGCTTCACTCCCTCACACCTTGCAGATCCCTGGGCCTGCAAGGAACTCAGGCCAAGGCCACCCAGGCAGGGGGCTAGACAGGCCCACTGACCCCAAGACCCTTGCTCTGCTTTCCCTTAGGCAAATAAGTGCCCCTTGTGTCCTGGGAGGGAGGATCACAGCCCCACGTCCTCCTGCCCCTCACCTGGAACAGGATGAGGGTGGCCACCGCCAGATCCTCAGCATCCCTGTCCCCAGCAGGGCACAGGGGAGGCTCCGCCCCAAAGTGCCAGTCTGGGAGGGGCAGACAATAAAATATTGCCACTACCCACTGCTGTCTGCATCAGAAGGTGAGGGTCACAGCTTGCATCCCCCAAATCATCCCCCCCTGCCCCCTCCATGGGCTTTGGTGCTGCAGGAGGCCCAGGGATCCCCAGCTAGGCTCTGTCCACCTGTCCACACGGGCATGGGGTGAGGGGAAACACTGCCTTGCTCATACACCTGCTGGGGCTCCCCACACCCCCTGCCCTGGCTCAGCCTCACGAGCCTCTTTCTACTACGCCCCCATCCTCACTCCGGGGCAACAGCTGAGGTGGGCCTTGAGGGACACCCTCTTGCTGGCCCAAGGCCGAGCCCCCACACGCCCCTTCCCCGTCACCATGGCGGCCCCAGGCCATGCCACCCCAACCACGGGACAGGGCTCCCCCGACCACCACAGCAACCCGGCTGCGACACACACACGCCAGCCAGGCAACCTGGGCTGCGGGTTCAGTGCAGTGAAATTTATTGTTGGATGAAAAAGTCAGCATTCACCGTTGAGTGTACAAAAGGACACCAGGATCTCAAAGGAAGTGTTAGGGCACCCAAGACACAGGCACCTTTCGTTGTAACATTTTGGCAAAAGTGAAAAGTTCTTGTAAACACCAACTCCATGGCTCAAAGTAGTTTTTCTCCACAGTACAACATTAAAAGGAAAAAAAACAGTATCAATAAGTTAGACAATATTTAATCAGCTGGGACTCTTGTCCACCGACCCTCAAACACAAAACTTCTTAGCTTCATACTTCCTTAAAAGGACAGCAGACAGACAACAAAAACAGCAACAACAAAAAGGCAAGTTCAACTGCGAGTCCGGCACTGCGGGGCCTGCTGGGATAGGCCCTCCGCAGAGCACGGTGGGCTCGGTAGGGCCTGGCCCCAACCTGTCCCAGAGAAAAAAACAAGAGCTACTGAAACATGTGGGTGGGCTTCTGTGGAGACTGAGGACCGGAGGCCCAGGGGACAGAGGCTCTGGGGCGGGCGCAGGCTCCTCTGCGCACCCTGGCTCTCAGGAAGCCACCGGGAGGCACCCCGCAGAGGAGAAACACGGACACGCCTGGATTTGTGCACTTCCGCCCTCCCTGCTCTGCTGCTGGTGGCGGCTGTGGCTGCTGGCGTGACCCCAGCTCTGGGTCATGGCTAGCCCCCCGCCACCTTCCCAAGTCATGGCTTTGCTCGGCCCTAGGTGGGAACACACACCCCAGACCCCACCACACCCTGGTGGTCCCCACACATACACACACAGGCACCCACACACGGCCCCCGATGCTTTGAGGACATGGGGCACAGCAACAAAGCAGCAAGCGGGGTGTCTGCAAAGCCTGTGCCCCCAGAGTGGGCCGGCTTGTCCTTCCGGCCCTCCCAGCTCTGCCAAGGGGCCTGGGGGCCTCCCTGACCCCAGGTTCCAGCCCTGCCAGCCCCTCCCTGAGTGCAAACCTTGACGGCAGCTCTGCTAAAACAGCCCCAAGACCCACAAGTGACGAAGGGACGGAGTGAGGTCAGCAGCACGGAGGCCATGTAGTCTCAACAGTGCGAAACGAAAAGCAGCAGCAAAGGGGGAAACTGAGGATGTGGCAGAGTAAAATCAGACGCCCTGCTTGCAGCTACAGGGTTCAAGCTCGCAGCACAGAAACACAGCGGCCTGGCATCACAGGCAGGGGACCTAGAGCTCTGCCCTCTCGGCTCGAGCAGCTGCCTGGGACACCAGCTGGAGTTCCCAAAATAGCCACTCGACCACCCCTTTGCTGGATGCGACGAAGCAACCGGGTGCACCGTCCGTGGCTGTAATACTGCAGAGGGCCCAGGGCAGGATCCCTCTGGGTGTCGAGGGAGGGAGGCACAGGCTTAGAAAAAAGATTCTTTCTCTTGTACAAAAATAGACTCGAGTCTCGTTAGCAGTAGCTAAAAGTGGCTGTCTCTGTATAAAACTAGAAAAGGCAGGCGGCCTCGGAGGGCCCTGAGTCTTCCCAGCAGAGGAAGCTGAAGCCCTGGGCCATGCGGCCGGGGGTGGGGGGTGGAGGAGGGAGAAGGGGGAGGAGGAGCAGGGTGGTGGCTTCCTGGGAGTCCAGCCAGGAGGGCCTGCTCAGGCCAGGAGGGTCGGGCAGCTTGAGGCCGCCCCACCTGGGGAAGAGGTCTGCCGGGCTTCCCAGAGGCGGCGGCGCTGGCTCAGATGAGGTGTCTTCCTCGTGTTTGCTGTGAAGCAGACCCGCCTGCTCCCCCTCTGCCCGGCCCAGCCGCTAGGGCCGTGCCTGCAGCTGCCGCTGGTCGTACTCTGCGATGAGCCTCTTGATGTGTGCCAACTTGCTGTGCAGATACTCGCAGCGATGCTTGTCCTGGCTGTAGTTGGTGTTGGTCTGTGGGGACCAGGCTATGTCACTCGGGTCTGCCCCCTCAGACCAGAAGCCCCTGCACCGGCTGGCACCCAGCCCAGAGAGGTCTGTCCCAAGGTGAGGAAGGGCCAGCTCCCACCCCAGCTCGTGTGGCTGGGCCAGGCCACAGCAGCTGAAGTCACGGGGGAACCACAGCCTGGGAGCTGGGGCTGCCCTGGAGGGCCAGGAGAGGGGTGCCAGAAAGGGCCCCAAGTCCGGGGAAGGCTGGGCCACACCTCCAAGGGGCTGCCCTGAGGCCCCTCCAGGCTCTCCTAGGCATGTTGAGGCAGCCTCTTCTGCCATGTCCCCTGTGACACAATACTCACCTTCTTGATTTTTCGATATTCCTGCAAGATCTGCCCTCGAGTGGTCTAGAAGCAAAACAAAAGAGAGAAAAACAACTCCCAGTCTGTACTCAGCCTTCAGCCCTTCCTCGTCATGGGTGCTCTGTACAGGGTGGGGGCGGAGCAGCCCCCAGGGACCCACACAGTGGCTGCCCAGGTTGCAGGGGGCGGGAAAGGACCTGGAGCCTGGGAGGTAGGAGCTGGTCAGAGCCTCAGCCCACGCAAAGGGGAGCCCACCTTTCCTGGCTCCCAGCCGGGTCTGGCCACTGTCCAGGTGGGAGGGCTGCACCGAGGGGGGTCCCAGGAGCTTGTCACCCGCAGGCCCTCAGAACCTCCCCTTTCTCCAGTCCCCAACCAAAGGGCCTCCCCAGGGGAGACAGACGCCAGCACCCCGATTCTTGGATCCTAGCCTGCAGCCAGGTTCTGAAAGGCGGCAGGCAGGAGGCAGGTTGGGGCTATGGCTGCGGGTGGAGACGTCTCCCCACCAAAGGGCAGCTCTGCACCAGAGGACTCCTGGCACTGGACCACGGGGACCTTCCCTCTGCCGTGCATGTGGCAGCAGGCTGGACTCCGGGTGCAGGACAGGGCTCACAGCAGGGTGACCCCAGTCTGGCCCAAGAGCCCTGTGTCCTGGGCTGTGAGAGGACTCTGGGTGCTCTCGAGGACGGGGCCCATATGCCCCATTTGTCCCCACTCTGGGAGGTGGGTTACGGCCATCCCCACAACAAGGCCGCCTGAACCCCAGGCACGTGCACAACTCCCAACCCAGGAGAGGAGAGTGCCCTAGGGTGGAGGCCAGGCTGGGGCCAGCAGCTCAGGACCTGTGTGTGGCAGTGTCCACCCACCCTCACCTCATACTCCTCAGAGCCCTGGGAGAGCTGCCGGAGCTGGGCATCCAGCTGTGTGAAGCGCCGCGTGATACGCTCGATGCGTGCGTGTAGGTCCCGGTACTCGCTGTACTCGGCGTTGAAGTCGTTCTTGTAGCTCTGGCGCTGCTCCGAAGACATAATGGCTGCGTATTTTCTGAGGGACCAGAGACAAGCGTCAGGGCTCAGGGGGCCCATGCTGACACAGGAAGCCCCAGTCCCACACAGTGGCTACCCCAGCTGCTGGGATTCACAGGCTGGAGCCCAGGCACTCACAGTAGGTAGTCGGGCGTCTCGGACGTGGACGTGGGGACACTGGCCGCACCACAGGCTCCGTTGAAACCTGTGGGAGTAGATGCCTGTGCTGAGTCCACGTCGGGGCAGCAGGAGCCATGCTCCACTGTCCAGGGGACAGGAGGGTGCCATGTGCAGAGGGGCCCGGTGACACAGCAGTGCCCTCAGGTGGCAAGCCCAACACAGCACGCCTGCATGGCCCGAGGGAGCCCCACCTGGCGGACACATTCTTGGTAAGTGACTACAGGTCAGGTCAGGCAGGGCGGAAGCCCTTACTACCAGTCCCACTGGCTGCCACTGACCACATGTCAAAGTTCGCTAAGCTGCAAACAAAGGAGTCCCTGGTGCATCTGATCTCCATCCACACAGGACAAAGGCGCGAAGGCCACAGGGACTGCACCTTGCCCTGAGCCCAACTGACCTTCCTGGTCTACCCCCTCAGGTAGACACTGGACTGTAAGCTGCACATGGCAGCTCCAGGTCAAGCCTGGCCGGAGGAACCATGGAGCCACTGTGAGCAGAGCTCCCAGACACAGAGCCACGAAGAGCACAGGGCGATGGAGGGCGCTCAGCCCTTTGGGACGCAAGGAGCCTGCCTGAGGCCAGTCAACAGCCAGGTGGCTGCTGGACTGCCCCTGCTCCATTGCACGAAGGTCTATGTTTGGGAAGCAGGGAGGAGGGAGGAGAAGGGAGGGGCCCGGCCCCCCAGGCCCTGGGTGGGCCTTCCCCAGGCCTTCTGCATTACCGCCAGCATCCTGTGCACATGTTTGAGGCCTCCACTCCCCCTCCAGGAGCAGGACACTGAGACCTCATCTACAGAGAATCCTCTCAGCACAGCCCTTGGCCCTCCAGAGCAGTCCCAGGAATGGTCAGAGCACCCCGGAGGTCCTAACGCCTCTCCTTCAGGCCACATGTGGCCTTCATCCCACTTGGGTCATTAAGATGCTGTGGCCTTCCAAGGGCCACAAGCCAGTGGTGCATATGGAGCTTGACTCTGGCTCTAGCAGGAAGGAAGAGTGGCTCACGCGCACGCACAGGGCTGAGCCCTCACTCCCATCACGAATGCAGTACTGGCATCACCTCACTTCACCTCCCAAGGTCTTCACTGGGCAAGAGACAGATGGGGAGACCAAGGCCCAGGGCCAGTAGGACATGGTGCCTGTGGTAACTTCAAGGCCCGGTCCCCGGCTGGCACCTGCTAAAGCACTAGAAGGGCTGGCTGGCCACACTGGTCCTTGCCTCAGGGCCCCTGGGACAGCCCTGCCATGGCTCTCATCCTGGTGTGTCCTCTTCCCAGCCCCATCTCTCCACCTACTGATCTTCTACCTCCCTGGGCAGAGGCACTGGGACACCTGCAATGTGCCTGGAACACAAACACCCTTCAAGACCAAGGGAAGACGGTCACCTGGGTTCAAGACCAGGGGAAGACGGGCCAATGCCCCAGACACGGGCTCTGGTGCCTTAGCTGCCCTTTCTCATTGCTCTGAACATCTACTCCCTGGGTGGTGCTTTCTCACCCAGGACAGGGGATGACAGACTCCCAGGCTGCGGCCCACAGGCACCAGGCAGGATGGGAAGGTATCCTGAGCCCTATGCAGCGCCAGCCAGGGCTGCATCTCTTCCTTGGTCCAACCCATTCCGAGCCAGGGTCCTCCCAGCTGCCTGCATCCCTCTCCTGCCATCTGAGACAGACATGTGGGTCAGTTCTGGGGATCAGGAACAGGGATGTCACCTCCTCGTGGGCCCACACGCAGGTGTGTGGAAGCCGGGAGGCCCTGCACAAGGCAGGACAAATCCCATGCAACCATGAATCCCCTCCTTCCACCTCTCTGGGGGCAGCTAGGGAGCACGTGAGACATGTAACCGGAAGCACTCCCATGTGGTGCCATGAAGGTGCCTACTCAGCGTCCTCCCTGGGACACAGCCCACAAACAGCAACTAGCGTGGAGAGGGAGGCGACCACCTGTGAAACCACCACTGCACGGGAGCCTCTGCAGCGACACAGCAGCCTCTGCCTCACGAGACTGGAGCGTTCCCACCCCTGCTTCACGCTAGTTAACATAAACGAGCAGTCCCGCGGGGCTCGGGGGCACTGCGCTGGATGCTGCGAGGGTGGCAGGGCCAGGGGCCTGTACTGTGAGCTCGGGGCCACCCAGGACCCCTGGCCTTGCGGAGCCCACTCGGCTGCCCCTGCCCCAGCCTACCTCTCTCTCTGGAGGAGCAGGCCTGCCCACGGCACCCCTGTAGCCCAACACCCCAACTCTGCCCCACAAAAAGTCCCCCCACTTCCTTGGGACCCTCCATCCCTGGTCTCCCAAATCCTGTCCCCACAGGCAGAAACGCCCAGCCGACTGTATGAAGCCCATGGAGATGCAGGTGCAGCCACTCCACGGACTCCCTACCAGCAGCTACTCTGGACTCCCAAAAGCGGCAAGCTCCCCCGCCCCTACTGCCTCCCTGAGCCCAGGTAACCTGGAGGGCGCCCATTCCCTCCCAGCATCCGGGGCCCCCTGAGACCAGAGCTGCAGCCTGGAACCTGTTCCTCTCCACACATGAGCTTCTCCTGTGGGTCTCGTGCTGCCCTGACCGTCATGGAGGTGCTCCGGAGGGGCAGAGAATACCAGGTGCTCCGGAGGGGCAGAGAGACAACCAGGCAGAAGAATACCAGGCGCCACACAGGCTGATGGGGCTTATGGGCCATGTGGTCCCACTCCTTCAGCCTGGACCTGACACCCCTGGTGAGCGAGGATGGCACAGGACCAGCGTTCAAGGTCCCAGACGTGTCCTCCTGGAAGGCCCCATCCAAGACACCTACCCGGGGCGTCTGACGGGGGTCCATGGGTGGCAGGTACACAGTCTGGCGGCTGGGCCCGGAGCGTGTCCTCAGCTGCCCGCTCCTTGTCTTTGTGCTTTTTGGACTTCTTCTTGGACTTGCTGTGCAAGGAGCTGCTGTGGGGCCTGCCAGGCTGGGCACAGTCCGTCAGCCGGGGCAGGCCGAGGCACATTGCAGGGTCCCGGGTGGCCACCTCCCCGTGCTCACAGTCCCGGCCACTGTGGCCCAGGTCGTTGCTGACATCAGCCAAAGGATCATGGGCCCTTGGGGGTTCTAGCCGCGGTGGCAGGTGGCTGCTGGAGCTGAGGGTGTCTGTGTCGGCCAGCAGGCCCTGGGCAGATGACAAGGCCTCACGACCATTGGACGCACCCAGTTTCCCATTGAGCGCAGGCTGGGTTCTCTGGGTGAAGTGCGATATCCGGGGCTTCTTGCTGGCCAGGGGGTCGATGAAGTCAGTAGGCTGCAGTCGCTTCTGGGAAGGGATGGAGATCGTTCTAGGAGCCCAGCGCCACCTGCACAGCCCACACTGGCCACATGGGGGCACGGGACGCTGAGCATTGCAGGCAGTCCAGCCAGAGAGGACTTGAGAGGACCAAGTTAAGGACTGTCTTGAGCAGGGCTACTCAGCACACTCCACCCTGCTCGGCACACTCCACCCAGTGACAGAGTCACAGGCACGGAGGCCGAGGACACAGGGCAGCCCCATGTCTGAGAGCCTCCCTGCCTCCCAGGTTCCCACAAGCAACAAGGGGTGCTGAGGCCACACATGCCAGAACCCGGTCCCTGGCACTGCTCCACCTTGGCCACTGGGCTGCCAGGGGTAGCTCCCGCTTCAAGAATGAAGTGAAAAACAAGGTGACTAAGGTGCCAAAGGTACCACGACAGAGGCACCATGATGCTAGATGGCCACCCCAGACCCACAGGCTCATGGGGAAGGCAAGCAAGAGTATCCCCAAGTGTGGCTGGGGAAGGGGATGGGGCACTGGATGGGCCCACCCATCCCCTCAGCCGCCCCACCTACCTGAGGGGGTGAGGCCAAGCTCCCTAGCTCAGTCAGGGGGCTGGAAGCAGCGGTGTCTCTGGGGAGTCTGCCAGCACCCTGTGGCTGCTGGCACAGCTTCCTGTGGAGGAAAGGTGGGCAGGTCAGAGAACACAGGGTCCAGGCCTGCCTCTGTCCAGTAGACACAGGTGAGATCACAGGAGCCCAGGCCTGAACACATCCTGCCCGGTCGACATCCTCCTGCACTCACTCAACAGGACACTGGCTACTGGGGAGCCCAGGGACATAGTGGGGTACTAGCCTCGACTCTTTTTTTTTTTGAGTTGGAGACTCACTCTGTCACCCAGACGGGAGCACTGCAGCCTTGACCTGCTGGGCTTCAGCGATCTCTCCACCTCAGCCTTCCAAGTAGCTGGAACCACAGGCGCACACTACCACACCCGGCTAATTTTTGATTTATTGTACAGATGAGGTCTCGCCAAGTTACCCGGGTGGGTCTCGAACCTGCAGACTCAGGTAATCCACTCACCTCGGCCTCCCAAAGCGCTAGGATTACAGCCTGAGCCACCGAGCCCGGCCTAGCCTCTACTCTTAAAGGCCACATCCATCCTACTAACAATGCTCACTGCAGAAACCACAAAATGCAGAAGAGAACAGAGGGCTCTGGCCTGGATGGGACAGCTTTCCTGGGAGCCTGGGTCACAGCATGAACTCAAGGGCAGCGTGGTAACCCTCCCAGCAGAGTGATGCAGCCAGGGACAAGGAAAGAGATGCCCCAACACACATGCCCCTCTCCATATGAGCAAGCAGAGGCCCCGGCAAGCCCGAGGTTGCAGGAGACTACAATTAGAGCTGCCAAGCCACACTGCAGCTAAACAGGCAGAGGCCAGACTAGAGGGACTCTCACAAGCATCAAGAGGTACAGCTCACTGCGAACAAGGGTTCCAACACGACTGTCACCAGGGGCCGGGGGCCACAGTAACCACAACACACAAGAGACCCCTGCAACTCAACAACTGGAAGACAGCCTGATGGGACACAGGCTCAGGCTCAAGCTCAGAGACACATCTCTACAAGGAAAACATCCACGTGGCCAAGAAGCCCACGAGAAGGTTATCGACATTGTCACCAGGGACATACACATTAAACCAACACGATACCACTGCACAGGTACCAGGATGGCCAGAATCAGACAGACAACCAGGGCTGGGGGGACGTGGAGGTCCCCGTGATGGGACTGAGAGGTAACCCAGCACTTGCAGAGAAGGGTCTGGTGATCTCCCCAAAAATCACAGATCGTCACATGATCTAGCAATTCCAGTCCTTGGTGCACATCGGAGAGGATGAACACCTGCAACCACACAGACCCCTGTCTCCCAGTGTTCACAGCAGTGCTGGCAACAGCAGCCAAAGGTGAAAACAACCAAGTCCTGCGAGGTCCCCTACATATCCTGGGACCGCTCAGCCCTCACAGACATGCAGTAGGGCAGAGCTCAAAGCCTGCGGGTCTGACCTCTCATCTACCCAACCCCACGACCACACAGCTGCCCTTCAGCAGGGTTCAAAACAGCCAGGGGACATTCACTGAGATTCTTCGGGAAGTGCCCGAGGGACGAGCACATCCACACAGGCACTTGTACACGCATGTCCACTGCAGCTCTGCTGACAGTGAGCAAAAGAGGGACATGATCCATCAGCTGATGGATGGGCAGCTACAGTGAGGTCCCTCCACACATGAAGGATGACTCAGTCGCAGGAAGAAGGCACTGACACAGGCCACAGCACGGACAATCTTGAACACGTGACACTGAGTGAGGGAAGCCAGACACAGAAGGCCATCTCATGTGTGACACCAGAACAGGCATATCCAGAGAGACAGGGAGCAGATTTGTGGCTGTCGGGGGCTGGGGAAGGGGATGAGGAGTGACTGTTGATGGGACAGAGCCTCCTTTTGGGGAATGAGAATGTTCTGGAACTAGTCCGAGGCGGTGGCTGTACAGCACTGTGAATGCACCAAATGCCCCTGAGTTGTTCACTTGAAATGGGTGCCTCATCCACAAAGAAGGACAAATATATGAACTCTGCAGCAACTTGGACGGATTTGGAGTTAATTATACTCAGTGATTTATCACAGAAACAAAGAACTGAGCACCATATGTTCCCACTCATAAGTGGACCTTAAACAATTATAATGCTATAAGAAAGCGACTGGCATTTAAGAAAGCGATTGGCATTAGTGGGAAACTGTCAGGGGAGGTGGGGTGGGATTGGCAGTTGAGGGAAACTGCTAGGGGAGGGAGGGGCATATCTCTTCAACAAGGGTACCTGCATGATCAATGGTTGTATACCTAACCCTGAATTGTACCTCGCATCTTTTTTTGGTTTTTTTTGAGTTGGAGTCTCACTCTGTCACTCAGACTGGAGTGCAGTGGCCACTCTCAGCCACCGCAGCCTCGACCTGCTGGGCTCTGGTG